GTAGTTAGCCTTATGTCAGCCAGCTTTGCTTCCTCCTTATGTCCGTGGTAACGTTAAAGGGATTTGGAGAAAGACAGTTGGGTAGGTTGGTGTCTGACATAATTTTTTAAGATGAGATGAATTATTGTTAGCTGGAAAAGATCAATGCTAACTTGGGAAAATAAGTTTTCCATTGGGAAAATTCACATTAAAAGCCCCCTCAAGTCGGAACAAGTTGACAAAAATTTTAGTACACAACTTGCCGAGTTGGACAAAGCGAAGTAAGAACTAATATTGGCATTGCCTGTTGATTCTTAATGTCAAGCTTGTCCACCTTAGCAACAGTAACTAACAAGGACGGGACTTAGGATTGGTCAATTATAATAAATGGCACACATCTTGACCTTCAAATTGTCACCTACTGAGAAATGCAAAGAAATATTTAAGGTGTTTAAACTAGTCAAGAGTTCTGTGTGACCGTCAGATGACCCGAGCTGAACTCAATCATCAGCAAGAAGCTCAGCTGGCACAATCACAGACTGCATTATTTGTATTTCATTAAGTTTATAATGCACATCAGCATTAACTTAATAATTTCCTGATCGAGATTGCAGCTGTGCAAATGAGACCATGCAGGGACCCTGATACACTTCCTGTACAGCCAGTGATTGCAGCTTAAGAATGAAATATGTGACTACACACACAGTATGTGACTGAATGGTTTGGAACCTCTCCAATGTCTCCCCATCATTAGCAAGTGTAGGGTGTCCTACAGTCAAAGTAACGAGTCAATGACAGCCAAAATGTTACTGCCTGAGGCAGAGAGATGTTATGAGTGAGAACTGCTTAACCATTTATGTTAGAGCACACACACAGTCACAGAAACAGCCATGAGTGGGTGGAGATGCAGTGAGGTTGGTGAGTGCATACTTAGATACACACTGTTACACCTATATATAGGCCTAGAGGGCTCTATAGTCTATATATAGAATAAATGGTGATGAGATGAGATCACAGAGAAGCAGGTAGAGACAAAGTGAATTGTAGTTGGGCCACTTACATGGATACATTGGAAGCACACAGGAAACTGACTTCTTCAAAGCGCAGAGTTTTTATTCCAGACAAAGAGAAGTACAGTATAACTTTAAGCACAACAATTCTAGTTCATATACGCGGCTCACATGCACACTACTTTAAGCTACGAGAATGACTACTAACCGACTCCCTTTGGCATGCACACAGAGTAAGAGATGTCAGCAGCACTCAAGTTAATTCAATCATAAATTATTATATTATTATTATTATTCAGCCTTTTCTTAGTGAGTGGAGCAAAACTATGAGGCACCGAGGTGCAACTGATTTCATGCTAACTGAACAAGTAAGTTAAAAGAATAATTCACCCGCTAAATAACCATTTGTATATCAATTACACACGGTGTGTTACCTTGAATTCATGAAGGAAACTTAATTTTCTTGGATGCCTCCACGGTGAACGGTGAATCCAAAGAAGGCAAACAATCTTTATGAACTGAAGCAAAACTATATCAAAACATCCTTTTATAAACTCTTTCAAGATTCATGCAGTGTAATACAAGTCTCATTTCTCCAGTCGTACTCTGAACGCTTCCCAAACACATGCATCTTCACTAAAACATTATGATTTAAAGCATGTCAGTACAAACAGTCTCATATATATGGTTGAGTGGTGTGCCTGGACATGTGCAAGCCTTTGAACTCTGCTCAAGCAGAGCTCACATGTATACACGTGTTCAGGCACACTACCTGTAAGCAGATTTGTGTTACATAGTAAGGTTTAAGCAAAAATGTATGTGTTTGGGAAGTATTAAACATTCGACTGGATAAATTAGACTTAGATTACACTGTTGTGTCACACTTTGTAAACTGATGTTTTGCTGATGTCACACCTGGACCCTGATTACACAAAATGAAGACTTTTTTTGGGTTCTCCACACATTCATTTATTTTTGGCAGTCCACCATGATAACAACATCTCTCGCCTGGTATTTATTTCTTATTTTTGGAGCCGGACCATTTAATAGGAGCACTGTTTGAACATATACTTATTGATTAGTCTTTGCACGACACTTTCAGAGCACAGACAGAGCAGCAGAACGCCAGGCACAGTGAAAGTGAAACCTAAATGTTTATTGCGCTGGGTCTAAAAGTTTGCTTTCACTCGCAGCAGCTGCTCATCTCATCCATTTATCTGGTCTAATACTTTTAATTGGATCGACTGATCAATTATCCAACCCGCAACTGACTCCAGAAACTGCTTCAGAGGTAAAATAAGAGCTCATGAAGAGTTGTGTTCAGAGACCAGCAAAAAATCTCCAAATTTATAAAGGCAACAAAGAATGATAGAACGGACGAAGTTGAAAAAATGTGCAAGTTTTCTGAACATTTTCAGGTAAATTAAACTTATTAAGTTGAGATCGTTTAAATCAGTGGTTCTCAACTGGTGGGTCACGGTCCAATAATAGGGCACAGGCCCATTCTGAATGAACCGCAAGTGAATCCCAAACCTGCCAAGTTTGTTTAAAAAAACGCACTTTATTTTGAAGTGCCGTTTCTAGCTGTAGAGTGAGTGACTGACGGACAGCTACTTGACAGAGGTAGCAAACTAGCTAAACGACATGGCCAAACGCAAGTGTGATGCCGAATACATTAAACTGTGGGACAGCGAGAAATCTGGACAACGAAGAAATATGGACCCCGTGTCTGGACCAGTTGGGGACCACTGGTGTAAGCTGTGTACTTACAGCTAAAAGAAAATGGTGTTGTGTTTAGGGACGCCATATTCTTTGAAAATAACCTAGTCGTCACTAGGGTGCAATAAATCTTGGGATAGGTTGGGCTGTGAATGAGTCTCCCATTGCTTCCTCCAAATTCGGGGAAAGAAGGACTCATTTCTTGACTGATTTTGAGGAATCATTCAAAATGGGACAACCCTGGTTGCTGTGGCGCAATTTGTCTTCAAATGCACCTTTCGAGGGCTGCAGCCTCAAAATTGTGACACAGCTTTTGGTTCTAATTCTGTGGGAAATACTTATTATTGTTCACCTTTTTTTGGATTCTCAGTTCACTGTGGAGGCACGCAAGAAAAAACAAGTGTTCTTCACATATTCAAGGTAACCTGCGGAGGGTAATTGTTAAACAAATGCTCACTTTGTGGGTGGAGTATTCTTTTAACAGTCCCATCACCAAAACTAATTCAACAAGTACCCGAAGAGAATAAACATGCAAGAAAAAATACATCCAGCTGTCTTCAGTAACGCTTCAGTTATGCTATCCATACTAAAATACCAACCATGCAGCCTACATCAGCTAAGCTCATGCCAGTGAACTGCAGAGTCACACACAACAACAGTTAAGTATTTGTGCATCACCATGATATACGATAGGCCTATATTTCAGAGTTTCTGAATTATTACACAAATATATGATGACTGTAGTTGTTTTTCTGCCATCTCTAAAAACATAGTTCAACAAACTCTGAAATGATATGACCGGTTAAAGCGAGAACAACGCAGCAACATCTGCAAGAAAGCAGAACTGCCAGATGGCTTTGCCTCAAATAAAAGTGGCCGGCCCTTTCTCCTCCGTTGAAAGAATGTATAAACACAAATCCACGATTTGTCCTGCGCCAGCCTTTTGTCTCTTCAAACCCATGCAACCATAAACAGACAGAAAGACACGCACTCTACAGACTCCTGCTGCTGGCCCACCATGCAGCCAATGCATGACTCGCTACAGCCCGACACCACTACTGGAGTACAAAAGGGTTCATGCAAAGTGAGGACTGAAAACAAACTGCTCGCTCATTAATACAGTTCACAATTCAGTGACTGGTATCATGCAGAAGAGAGAAACAGAGTCAGGTTAAGGCAATGCCAGGGACAACACAGGTTTTTGGCTGATCACAAGGGCAAGACTGATGCAGGGTAAATTGGCTCCATCAGTATCCATTCAGCTTGCTGATTGACTGAAGGTGGAGGTGGCGGAGGGAGTATGTTGTACCAGTGGATGCAGGTGGCTGTCTTTCATTCTCGACCACACTGCAGCAGAACTGAGCGTACAGAACTAAAAAGGGTCCAGCCGGCCTCATCCATCATGCAGGAACTGACTCGCACACACCCCCACACACACATACACACCACAAGGAAATCACCACAGTAAGCCCATGCAGAAATCCTGGCTTACAGCGAGGTCAAAGATCCAATACGGACAACTGGCTGGCTGACGCCCCAATAAAAATAAACTGCTTTCAAAAACTCACATGCTTCAGTTAAAAAAATACGTAATAAAAATCAAAACAACCTGAACACACACAGACTTTACACAGAAAAACTCAAGTGAACAGATCTTTGGTAAGAATCCAGACTTCCATAAAGTGAACATGCGTCAGTGTTGCTGTGATTCCCAGCATGCTGCTGTTGCACCAGGAGCCATAAGCTTGTCACAACCACTTAGCCGCAGCACCGGGTGAGGGGAACACAGAAGGATTTCTACACTAGGGAAGAAAATAAGAGCATCTGACAGCAATCTGCCATGCATCATCCTTTCACTGCGTTCCTCTCGTGCCCTCCGGTGCCAACTACACAAACATCATTCCAATGTTGCGGAAAAAAGTTGTAACATCAGTGTGGCTACAAGTTGCGCATCAGTGGAAAAAAAAAAGGTGAAGAGGCAACAGCTTAATGCGAAAAAAAAAAAAAATGCTGCAGAGGAAAAAAGTACCCAGCATGCCTTATGTAGTGTTCTTGCACCCCCAATCATTCCCACCACAGAAACAACAAAAAAAGGAGGAAACAAGTCTTTTGAAATTTAAAAAATGAACATACTGCAGAGGACCAGGGAGTGGGATACCAGTGGGCTGCATCAGAGCATATCACTAAAGGGAGCATGGGAGCTAGCTAGCAGTCAGTGATCAAGCAGAATTACGATGGGAGTACAGAGAGAAGACAGAAGAGAAGCGGGAGAGAGGGAGAGAGGAAAATTACCTCAATCTTACGACCTTCCACCAGTGTGCCGTGGAGCTTTTCCCTGGCTTTCTCTGCGTCTGCGCTGGTCTCAAATGTCACAAAGCCAAAACCCTGTGGTACACAGCAGAGGTTAAAGAGGTTGGTGGTGAGCGAGGGGCACAGAATAAGACATTTTGGAGAAGGAGAGAGGAGAATCTGTGAATCTGGAGACCTTGGGGTCGCTCTGACACTGTTTACAAGATAACTGCAGATTCATAACAGGGCCTCCCCATGTGGCGTGCTGATATCACACATGGCTGCACGATTATGGCCAAAATGATACTGACATCACAATTAATTATCATGGTTATTTGTTGATTTAAGGGACAAAGTATTTAGACTGCACTTTAACATTAAAGCCCAGTTCAGACCAAAGATTTGCGACGAGACGAGTTGAAACAAGCAACTACTGCCGGTTCACACCAATGCAACTAGAGAAGACAGTGTATCATCTCTATGCAACAACTCTCTGTAAGTAAGCAGCACCAATTAATCAGCCAATGACAATGTGTGTGTGTGTGTGTGTGTGTGTGTGTGGGGGGGGGGGGGTATGAACACAGACAGTGAGCAGCAGCGGTGACCCACCGTCCGACACTGGCACACAAGGGGACGGAAACAGAGGGCTTGGCGGGGACTTCACTACATACCAGTCGGCTGTAGAAACAGGTGACCAGCCTTACGTTCTAAAACCAGCCGCTGCCGATTTGACCAGCGGAGTTGCAGGTGACGCCATTAGCAAGTTTGAGACTGCCAGTTCACACCTCTGCAACGTTCTAAAACGGTTTTGTCTCCTCACAAATATTTGGTCTGAACTGGGCTTTAAATAAACAGAGCACTGCTTTCACTTCCATGTTGTGCTATGTTCTTGCTAATGTACAATCTGTGCATCAAAATAAGACCAGTTCTTATTCTTGGTGCATCTCCTAAAAGCAAAAATAAATACAATTCTAGTGAATATATAGGCTAACTAAAAATAAATGCACCATTACAGAACTCAACCAAATGAACACAGTGTTTACTGAACACATATTTTTGGCCACATGGAATGTGACTGATTATTTCAGTCTGTCTTTGAGAGTTCGCAAGATACCTTTCCAGGGTTTTATCTTAACGTTTATTTACCTAGCGTTTTATACAGCATTGCTGGTATAATAAAAATAATTCATGTTATTTAAAGGCGCATTTCACAATGCTCAAGGTCACCTTACAGGCAAAGATAGAGAAAATAATAGCAGATTCAAAGAATCAACAAGATAATAAATACAGTAACATAAGAAATAAATAATAAAATAATAATAACATAACAAGTAAATATTCAGCAAAACAACTTTGCAGTGAATAAAATTATGTGTAAATAGTGGATATGTGTGGCTACACAGACGGAAGTCAGACTGAATAGGTTAGCTGAAAGAGATGAGTTTTGAGGCGGGATTTTAAAGTGGAGATTTGATGCTACGAATGTCTGGTGATTTCAGGAGTCAGTGAAGATCAGTTAAAAATCAGGGAGCAACGCAGCAGGGACTGGAGAGTAGCAGCAGCTAACTGCGCCAGCATTCACTTCCCGTAAAATCCCCCAATCCCCGCTAGACGCTAAAGCTGCAACAACTGAGCTATTAGCTGTCAACTAATAAAATAAACACCATCTAATCTGACAATCAATTAATCAGTTTTGAGTTTTTAAGGGAAAAAAAACCTCTTCTTAAATATGAATATTTTCTAGTTTCTTTAATCCTCCCTGACAGTGAACGCAACATCTTTGGGTTGTGGACAAAATTTGGCACTTGAGGACGTCATCTTGGACTCTGCGAAACACTGCAGGGTTTCCCACACGTTTGTTTATTTGTGGCACTCTGCAAATAAATCAACATCTGCCGCCACATATTGATTTCCTATTTTTGGAGCTGGACCGTTCACCAGGAGCACTGGAATATTTATATTCTGGAATATTTATACTGTACGGTTATTTAGAGCACCACACGCTCTGGGCACAGACGGAGCAGCAGAACACCCGCGCAGTGGGTAATTTGCTTTCAGGCACTGCAGCAGCTCCAATCTGATCAAATCGACTGATCAATTATCAACCCTGCAACTCCAACTCCACAAACTGCTGCTGAGGGAGAAAAAAAAACTCACTGAGCGTTCAGGCTGCATTCACAGACCTGAAAAAAACTCTGAATTTAGAGAGGGGATGCACAACAATACAAAAGGGGAAGACATTTTATAAACTAACAACTGATCAACTAATCGAGAAAATAATCGCCAGATTAATCGACAATTAAAATGATTGTTAGTTGCAGCCCTAGTTGACGCCAGACAAGGACAGGGATTCACTAAGATAACGTTAGCTAAATTATTCCCTTCACTTTTAATGCCTGATTTGTACTTTTTGGTTTGTAACTTTTGTGTTTTATTTCCTTTTGTTCTGTTTTTGCCTCTCTGTACGCTATTTTTCTCAGCTCTTAACATTTTTCTCATGTAGGCTTTGCATATAATTTTATTCTCCCCTAAATCAAAAATATTGCCAAACAAAAGATGCTGATAGACGGGTGATTTTCTGCAGTCGCAACATTCAGGAGAGTTTTTCAGAGGCTGCTGCTGCTGCTGCTGCTGCTGCTGCTGCAGGGTGCTCGTGTAGCGTCATGACAGCTCTCCTAAAGTGGAGGCTGGCTGTTAGTTTATAAAGTGCTTGATTTCATATGCAGCAGAATTGCATTTGATTATGTTCTCGTAATTGTGGGAAGCCAAATTCGTAAGTGAGATTAATATTCCATTAATTGTGCGGCCCTGCTAACACATCACCAAGTGTCACATTTACAGAGAAAAAACATGCAAAGTGGAAATCACTGTCAACAGTCAGAAGAATTTGTCATAGTTTGAGAGAATAAAATGCCTCCTGGTGCTCTTACCTTTGAGCCCCTCTCGTTGAAAATAATCTCCACATCCAGAATCTTCCCATATTGCTGTAAATAAATAAGAGGGAAGATATTAGCGAACATATAAAAGCAAAGAAAGCAGTCAGTGACATATTTGAGTCATGTCAGGATCCTTACATCTGCAAAGTGGGAAGCTTCTGACACTGTGAGCTACAGCTGCTCTACACTAGGTGTCACTGTTACACAAAAGACAACTCCCCACATTTCACGGTTTCCTTCCAGCCCTCTGCATTGAACTCTGCTCTGTCCCCTCTCTCCTCCCACTCCGTCACTCACGCTAACACACTGACACATATCGCAGCCAGTTGTCCCCTCAAGCACCACAAGATCACCCATGAGTGTCTTTCCTTTGTGGTGGTATGACTCTTCAGTCTCCCTCTAAACCGCTCCTCATGAGCCAGCCCCTCAGTGAAGCACCCTGTGTGTCTAGACTGATTTATTGATCCCATTAAAATTGAGGCCCACAACATTCCCAGCGTCTTACCCCAAACATCTGCCTGAGGTCAGGGTCCCGGAAGCGGAAGGGGATGTTTGAGACGTGGAGGCGTTTCGGGGTCCCTTTGGCTTCAGACGGGTCTCCCACAGAGCCTCCTGCTCCTGTGCCTGCTGTGCCGCACTGTACACCCGCCTCACCCTGGGACGCCTCCTCTGTCTTTCCCTGGGGGGGGGGGACAGAAAAGAAGAAGTGGTGAGAACAGTAAGAGGAGGTGTTAAAGGTGATCAAATGGCTTATGATGATTATTTTAGCACAGTGACACTCTGCTAAACCTCTTCATTTAAATTCAACCCAAACAGAAACAATGCAGTTTGAGTACACAGTGAGAACAGTCTTGATCTCATCAGCAGTGTCTTAAATTAGACATAATTATTGTGTTTATGTCTAATAATAAAACCACAAGTCTACAGCCATGCTTGCAGCTCTGTGAGGCTGTACTATGTGGTGCTTACACTCACGAGGGACTCCCCAAGAACTTGGAATTTCACCCCGGGGTGGGGGAGTGCCTGATGTCCTGGGTCTCACTGAGTGATGTCTGCCTGAAGCGTGTTCTCGTCGGCTCACGTGGAGCTGTTTTGTTACTTTTTGGATTAGTTCGCAAAACAGTAGCCTGAAGAGTTTTTCATTAACTTAAACTTTGCATTGACTGCAGGATTAAATCTACACAACACCTCACACCTTACTAACTTTAAACAGAGATGTTTTTTTAAATTTTTGTGATTGCAGATTTACAGAGAAACACTTGGATTTTTGGTCCTTGTACTGCTGGCACGGCTGTAACTGTGATTAAACTTTCCTGCAGATTTTAAATGACTTTTAGCTGACTGCTGATAAATTCATCCATCATAACGTTACATTGGAAAATATGTACAGCCAGATAGTGATAATATGTATTGACATTTGGATGGATTAAATCATGTCCAAGACCAAAAATCAACTTCTGCATCGGTTCTGCATTTTGATATCAGTGTAGTATCTTAAATCAATATATGCAATATGGGTTTACAGGGCAAACAATCAATTGCCATGTTTATCGGTGTGAGACCAAATATACAAATTACAGGAAGACATGAACAGTATATTTGGTAATCCTTCATAGAATACATAGAATAAGCTGATCTCATTTGGTATGTGTGCATTATTCAGTCTGCTTTGCCTAATTTTCCAAGCTTTAAATATAAAACTAGTCTGTACTTTTGCCACTCAGCCCAATTTCTTATTTTAATGTAACCAAAATAATTCTGGAGATGTTGCAGATGTTAACCATGTTCACCATCTTAGCATAGCTAGTTAGCATGCTAACAGTTCTAGGGCTGTGCCTTGAAAGTCAGAGATTTGAATCATCAGTCGGAGACCTCTCGGGCAACTGAGATTGCGTCAAGTCAAGCAGTGTTTTCCTTTATTTTTTTTGGTCCCCAGATTTTGCTTTGGAGTGAGCGTTCTTGACTTGACGCTACTCTTTGGTACAGACAGCTGCAGACATGATGCAGCAGCACAGAGGAGGAGAAACTTCCCACCACAGGGTTCAGAGACAGCATCATCTTCTCTCTTCTCTTGGTGAATTTACAGCTCACAGACACTTACTAGACACACTCTGGCTTTTCTTCAATATCTAGTGTTGGAAAAATACTTTATTGCACATTTCCGATCTGTCGTCGCCGTCGTTAGCTTGTTTACTATATTAAATGAATGCCGCTGACACACCGCCCTGTTCAAACTTTAAAACGTGTAAAAAACCAAATTGTCGAATATTCATGTTAAACGGCTGAATCTGATTCGACTGACATAATCCTAACTCAGATACAGCCCCAAACAGTTACTAATAAACACTTAACACTAATCCAGTCGGGGCTGAAGGGATCATTAGTTTTGCAGATGTTTGGTCATAAACATTAATGGACAAAAATCCAAGGCAATCCATTCAAAAGGTATTTGAGATATTTCACCAAATTAAATCTCCACCTGCTGCTGGCACTAGAGGAAAATCAGAGGATCACCAAAGTCATTATGAGTCACCCTCTGGGCACCATGAATGTCTGTGCGAGATCTCATGGCAATCCATCTTACAGCAGTTCACATATATCAGCTAAAAAATAAAAATGTCATGCTGCTGGAGGTGTTGCATGTTAATGAATATCTGGAAAAATATTCATGGCAATCCATCCAGTATATTTCAGTCTGGATTAAAGTGGGGGAAGTGACTGACTGAAGGGAGATTTATACTTGTGCAGCAGACACTACGCACGTGGCCTACGTCGTTGTGAGCATTTATTCTTGTGCGATGGTGTGTCTGTGACACTCTGCAGTTACACCTAAAACACTAGTCCGCGACGGGGTTTCTGTGAAGTGTTTAGTTGATTCAAAACACACATTAAACATGGCTTAATAGAGACAATTTCAAACACATCAGCTTCACTATAACTCGCAGCATTCACAGACAAACACTTGTCTTTATCTGGACACATTTTCCCCACAAATACAACATGCTAACGTTATTAGCACAAGCCTATGGCATTTTACATTGTATAAATAAGCCTAGTGTCTAGCGGACTTTTCCTCTACTCATATGAAGCTAGGGACAACAGAAACATTTAACAAAGGTAACATAACAAAATAGGCTCCATTACAACTCACAAGGTTCACTGACAAAACAACTGTCTTATTCTAAACACGTTTTCCAAACAAATATAATATGCTAACGTTATTAGCAGAAGCCAATGGCATTTTACATTGTATAAATTAGCCTAGCGACAAGCGGAGATTTCCTCTGCTCATATGAAGCCAGGATAAATCACACACAAGACTTAAAATGCTATTTTAGTGGAGGCTTTATTGTCTTCTTGTTCTTGTTTCTCATCTGTGAAATTAAAGTAAATAAAAGCTTTGTTTCCACTGAGAGAAATGGGTTCAGCTTACAAACAGACAGGAGGTCTGCGTCGCCTCAACTTGTAGTTACATTTCTGGGGAGGTGCACGTCAAGCTATGGTTTAGGGTACGGCGTAGGCTCTATGTCGTATGCTGTAGGGACGGCGTTGATTTGACACAGAAATATAAATCCAGCATGAAACTGCCATCACTAGAGCCAATGGCAGTCATAAGCGGATAGTGTTTATTACTGTTGTCACTATTGTTGCAACACAACTGCAATTTTACTGAACAAAATAATTAAAATCTAATAGTTCCTTCATAAGAAAAAAAAGACAACACATCTTCAACATGCTGAACACCTCCACAACAAACTATAATGCACTATGCCTCAACATTCTACACATCTGACACACAACTAGTATTTAAGGCTTTACAAAGACAGTGCTGCTTACATTGTTGTTGGTGGTGGTAGTGGTGGTGGCTCCGTTAGCACCAGCCCCTATCTCTGCTGTGCCTTGGCCCCCAGCACCAAACATGGCCCCGGGGCCAAACTCCGTCCCTGGAAGCCCGTTTTGAGGAGGGGGTGGAGGGGGGAACGCTGAAAAGGGTGGGGCCACCAATCCCTCCTGTCCTCCTGTCGAATCCTGAGAGCCCTGTGGGAGCGGGGAAGGGAGGGGGAGGAGAGAGGGAGACAACTTAACATATGTACTCACAGTGCGTGCAGCGTCCTGATGAAGGCAGAATGAGGGGGTTAAAATCCTGCCGATTAGATTTCACTCTCTCTCAGCGCTCAGTCACTCCCCCATCCCCTCCCTGCTCTCCTCCACCCTCCCCCTCTACCTCCATATCTCTGACAGGCATGAGTTTTCAGTCAGCCGACCATGAAATATTTACAGCAATCACATCTATTATTAAGAGTCCGAAAATTCGATACACGGTTTGAGATACAAAGATGCTTATGGGATGGATGGACACGCGGGGAGATAAACACTACCTGTGCCATGTTAACCGTGACATGTTTACAGCTGCATTGTGTGAACGCATTTTCTGGATTTCTTTTAGAGCCCATCTATAATTCAGATGATCTGTGTATGAGCTGGGACTCCAGCCTCAGGTTCTTTTCCTCTGCACACTGTTACAACTGTATCAGGATCATCTACAGATTCTTTATGCTGCTGCTGCAGCTGCTCCAACACACACACACAAACCTTATCTTGTATGTGTTTGTGCGTGTGGCGACTCTACAATGTTGCTTGCTTCAATCATTTCACACGCTCAAGGGCATCTTGGACTAAGTTTCACAAAATCCTTTTATAGCAAAGAGTAAAAGAAATGGAGACGCAGCGGACAGACGGGGAGATACAGAATGAGCCGTTACAGCTAGGAGAAAAAAGAAATAATAGCGAGTGGGTTTGGGGTCAAGGCTGCTCGCTCCACACCAGGCCAGGCAGCATGACACACAGCGTCCAACACCATTATCCACTGGTCTGGTGTATGCCGCGGGCTGGATCTGGGCTGGGCGACGCCTGTAGACACTCGGTCTCCAGACAGTCTTTTTAATTAGACAGAGTAACTAAGATGCCGCAAAGCAAACGATCTCTCTCCCTCTCCCTTCCTCTAATCCTATAGCCCGCTGTTCTTCTGCAGTGCCTACCGCATTGGCTGTAAACAGCCAGCTGAGGCTAAAATGCCCATCTGCAAGACAGACAGCTTCTGGGGTCTGGCCCAAAAGATAGAGGAGGCATCAGCGAGGGCTGCACAATCCAAAAACAGGATGGAAAAATCTGGGAAACTCGTCCACTGCAGCTCTCACTGTGGTAAAGCTCAATGTGTACGTTGGGGTAGAATGTGTGATTGTGTTTCTGCATCTGCTCGGGTTTCTGCCAGCGAGTGATAAAAGAGGAACCATCAAAAACATGTTCAAAAAGAGAGGATACACCATTAAAATTCATTGGTTAGGCCTTAGCCAACCCAGGCTAGGATATATCAAAGCCTAAGTGCACTTGTTAGGGCATGTGAGCTCATAAACATGCAGTGGCCTGTATTCACCCACTAAAGGGTGTGTCCTATAGGCATATCCTGGCCCAGGGCTGAGTCACACACACCCATACTGCTGGGCAGAGGGAGAGAAGAGAGTAACAGTATTAAAGAAAAGGGTGACAACAGAACAAGGAGGTTGAAGCTTATGATTAGACAAAGACAGAACTTGACTGAATCATGTATGAACACGAGTGCTCATCTATGTTTAAAGTCTCAATGAATGAGAGTCAGAGAGAGCTGCTCACTGACAGGAAGTGCTACAATATTTTAATTCAGATATTCCTGCCACACAGTCACAGAGACACCCTCCGACAAATAATAGCTGTCCAGGACAATGGATAAATAATCACAAAAGATACTGAGTCCATCATCGTCAATATACAAGAACAAAACATCATCAGTGTGCGTCATTCATCTACATCACTGTAGTTGTAAGAGAAAAACGAAAACACACATAAATCGAGCCCTTCTATGGAGGCATTTATGTGTGTCGAACAAAATCTGAAGAATACGAGAAGGAGGAGAATGTGGAAGCGGTCGTGGCTGGGGAAAAGAGGCCAACTTCATATGCTAACTTTACGACAACAGCTGGAAGTGTATTTATTAGCATCTACTAGCTTTTAGCATTTTCGCACCGATCAATGCGTCATGTCATGCTGTATGCCTATTGGTTGGTTAGTGGACATAGGTCTCAACAGCAGTCAAGCAGTGAGAACATCATCCCAAATTTCTGACACTGTCAGAATTTTATCCCAGGCTGTCTTTGATTCCCAGCAAGCAATAGTTGTGATTTAAATGTATTGGCTATATTTAGCTCCGATTTAGTCTAGCTACATGTAACCCAAATCTAGACGATTTAATTTTGAAACTGATTAAATGTAATTTTCGCCATTGCAGATGGCGTGCAGTATGATATTCAATCACGTATGGAGAGTCAACAGTAATTAAAATATGTTCATCTCCATTTTTTGGACATGGTCTCTACATAGCCGTATAATTGATGACGTCTACACTTTGGCTATGGTTAGACGTCTACCAAATTTTCACTGACAGCCCAAATTCAGCCGTGATTTAGCCTAGACGTCAGGTCTTCATGTAGACGGCTATTAGATGTTTTTTAAACCAAAAAATGCTTGCTGGGTTGCAAGACCGTGACAAGGGACCACCATTTTTAGAGCCACTACCGAAGATATCGCCATGTTCCTTTCACGTTGGTCATGTTTTGTCTGGGACAGTCCAAAATCGTGAAGTGTATACCAGGCTTTACGAAGTCTCAAAGAAGACGCCGCAGTTTAAGCTTAAGCTTTACAAAGCTTCTGAAAGGAATACGATCACACCAGAGCCCTTGCTGGAACAACTGCAAAACAAAGTAAAGTATGTCTCTCACATGCAGCATTTTAGAGATGTTTAACGTTAGTAATGTTATGTTGTATAAACACCTTTGACCCAACTCTTATAGCGTCCAGTCTGTAAGATATTTTCCATCAGCAAGTCTGGACGGAATCTGCGCCTGCGGAATTCCTACAACATATCCGTAGACTTTAGAATGACTATTGTCTACCATATTACAGGCAAATAAAAAAAACATTCAGATTATCTTTGGATCACATCCAAAAACTGTAAAAAAAAATTTGCGTATACCATTCGGGCCTGCTCAGCAGTCCTGTTCAATGCCTGGTGGTGAGACAGACTGTCACTGGCACCTCAGCTGGAAAAGCTCTGCTTCAGCGATACAGTACACAATTTATTTTCAGCTAACGCTACATTAGAGTCAGACGTCACGTTTATTTTTCACTTGTGTGACTGGACAGCTGCATGACGAATTCCGTTTGCCTGAACACAAACTTTACTTGCTCCGAGCAAGAGTTAATGTCGAGCTCTGATTCCCCACTTGTGCTAAGTTAATGTTCAGCGTGGTGTCCCTGGCACAATCAGAAAGCAGTATTAATTTCCTTTTTTTGGCCTTTTTTTGATAGGACAGCGTTAGGGTAAAAGGGGGAGAGAAAGGAGATGACATTCAATGGTTAGAATCAGACCTGCGGCTGCTGCGACAAGGACATAGCCTTTCTACGTGGGACGCCTGCTCTACTAGGTGGGCTAGTCAGCATCCCAGCAGTATCAATTTCCAACTTGGAAGTTATCAATGGTTATATTTGCAGTAAACAAATGTAATGTTTGGCAATACATTGGTGTTTACTACTGTTGCTAGGCAGCCTACTTTTCAGCCTAATGTTCTTCAGCTAACACTCAATGGAAGGCTAACACTTCACTGCGCAATATTTAGTTTGTGTGGCCCCTAGCTTTTCAGCTATGTTGCAACGAGCAGTGCATTGCAACGCCCTTGTTTATGCACGTAGCTAAATACCAAAGCTTTACTCTCTCTGTTGCCTGCTGAGTAGTAGCTCTCAAACCATTAAATTAGCAAAGTAAAATAACAATATTTCCCCCCCCAAAAAACAGTCACTGACAGCCGATACATTCGTCCAATCACCAAACCACATACCAAACACTGATCATCTAGTGTTTTTCAGACACTGACGAGGGCACCAGTGACGCTCATGGCTAATAAAGGCATGTTTGTTTATTCTATCACATTGTTCCTCGCTGAATGAAGCGCTGCCAAGTCTGAGCCACCTGGACAACGTGTCACAACACCACGCTCCCACATGATTAGTCATGTGAGAAACCATTAAGGCTCCTCCCACTGAGGTTTAAAGAACACTGACAGAGCCTGTGACCGTGTGTGTCATTCTCATTTTAAGGTTTGTTTTGGCTAACCAAATATAAATCACAATGAATTTGATTAATTGACAAACTGATAATAAACAGGGAGACAAATGGAAGTTGACAGATGATGAAGACATGAGAACAGTCCCCCCTTAAGTCTGCAGAGGCATTCCTGACCCGCTCACTAAAGAGCAGCACTGCCCTACATGGCGGCATCATATAGTCAAAGGAGAGAGGCAGAAGGGAAAGAAGAAATAATGGAAAAAGAAACAGGGGGCTTAACGGGAGGGGGATTAAAGGAAATTATGACACAGTCTATTAAAGTTATATCTGGTCCAGACTTTCCAGACTGAATTCTGACATTGTGAGATAAGAAGCAGAACGGGCTGAATCAGTGATACATTTAAAGGCTTTAAATGACGTGAACGGCGATCTGAGCAAAGCTGCAAACACGACTGAATGTTTTTTTTAAATCAATCTAATATTACAAATAAAAAAGGACCACCCAGAGAAGGACCTACTCATGCATACTATCTCACCTCACACATGCACACACACAAACACAGGCAGCAGCAGTTGTGTTACCTGAGACACCATATGTTTTCCCATACACGGAGAGGATGAGGGGGAGGAGAGGCCCTTTTTTCACGGCAAACCTTTCAAGCGTGCGTCTATGTCTGTCTGACTCTAACCACCCAAGTGAAGCACACAGCAGCCACAGAGACACAGAGTGACAGCCAAGTGGTGATGCTACTGACACTCATCAATCATGCAAATTCATAACAATTTATCTACTGGAAGTATCCAGCGCCCGTAAAGTTGCCTGGCTGAGGACAAAAATACTCTTTACGGCTTCTTCTCCCTCTGCAATCCGTCTCTTTTCTTT